ACCCGAATCCGTGCCCAGCTTTTCGAGTCAACGATTTTTCCTGCCTTAACGTATGCGTCAAAAACCTGGTCGATGCGTAAGCAGAATGAAAGATCACTTAGCGTAATTGAACGGCAGTCGAAAGGACGATGCTGGGAATAGCCTGTATCACATAACTGAGGGAAGGGATCCAGAGCTCCGACTTGCATCACCGATCAAAGACGAAAGACGCCATTCCATACGCCGAACAGTCGGAAATAAGGCGTGCAGGAAACGTAATGCTTATGAACGACAACCGATGGAGAAGGGTCGCTTGTGACCATATTCTTGAAATGTAAAATGTGCTGTAGGAAGACCACCAACTCGATGGTCAGAGCGCTGCACGAAAACCCTAGAAGAAAAATAGAGAACCGGTGGTTCAATACATCCATCCTCCTTTATTTTATATGACGGGAGGTGGACGTGGCTATCGAAGAGATCTGAGTAGTATTCGTGAATGATTTTCTTCGTTGCCTTTCTAGATGCTGTAACTGTTTCGTCTAGGCGCCGGAGTGCAATCATATTGGTCTTGTAATCGGCGAAGCTTCGCTGGACTTTGCGAACGCTTTTCCCAGCCTCTGCAGCTTCGACCATTACTGCTGCTCTTCTCTCTTTAGGGTCTTCTTTTATCGCCTGTTTGCACTGTTTTGCAAGTTCGGTCGTTAGTTCGCGGTTGCCTGCAGTTCGTGCGATTCCACGCTAACGTATCAGCTCGAGTATTCCTGGAGGCAAATGTCTCTTGGTAACTTTCGAACTCACAGCTCTCATAGCGGTAACGTGAAGATACTGGATGAGTCGACCCTGTTCTTGCCGTCTTTATCAAGAACGGCGTCTTTACAATAGCTGACTCTTAAACTGAATATGTCCCAGCTGATGGTGATTTTGGAGCTTCGTCATTTGAATTTAGAGGCTTTTTCTCCTTACAGCGAAAAATGTAATCTTGCACGAAAGAGGCGATTGTCTGATTCTGCGTAGAGTTTTTGGACAACAGCGACATCGGTTAGGCAATTGCTTTGATTTACTATGACATGGTCTTTTCATTGTGGTACTCTCCATTGAAAGACTCCCATATCCAGCTTTGAAAGTGGTGCTTCTGGAATTACGAGTTACCAGGAATCGTCTTTGTCGACATAGTAAACTCGGACAGTCGCTCATCCTGCTCAATTCACACTAATCCGTGAGTATGATGTTCTTCAAACGTTCTTCTGGGTCAAATATTAGCGTTAAGATCTCCGACTATGACCTTAAAGATTGTATGCTCCTCTCTGTAGAACCTCTCCAGGTCCATATAGAACGTTTCTTTGTTTTCGTTATAGCTTGATGTCGGCGCACTTGCGACGAAGATTGTCAAAGCCGGTATTGATCCATATCTCTTCAATCGTAAACGCCCGAGTTGGGCTGTTAGTTGTTCGAATGAATGGTCAAATTCGTGTTGATGGAAATGCCGAGTCGCCAACTCCTCTATTGTCGCATGTTATAAAGAACAGTTCTTCTCCAGTGTAGTAGACAGCGTTGAATTAATTGGTGGCGTCGTCTCGTATCGGCTATGCCGATGTCGTCGTATCTTATCTTTCTCGCTTGTATGATCAAGTCTTCTATCGAAAAGCCAGATGCAAGTGTGCGCTCATTGTAGGTACAGATTGCCACCTAAGTTCTTCGTGATCTAGGTAGCTTCCATTGGCCCTGAGATTTTAGCAGCCTCTCCGTAATCATCCTATTCAACGCTGCTGAATTGGGAGCTCTTTCGGGTTCAGAGGAATGAGGCCCGTTTCTTCTGCCGTTTTTAGCTTTTTAATACCCACGTACAGCAAGCTGGGCTCTGAACGTGGGGGTTAGGTATACTCACGGGTAGCTTGCCACTCTCTCGTAGGGTGGACGCGAACCTTACTTACTGGAAGCGATTCCTAACGGCTTTCTATATACTTCGATGTCACTCGATTTTAGCCTTTTAGCCCAACTTGTTTGTAAAATACAATCCGCAATAGATGATTCGTAGAATACAATCCGCATAGACGACAACACGCCTCCGCAATCATAAAATAACATAAACACAAAACGTATATGTCAAATTGGTAAAACAGAAACAGGGAGTCCATCTCCTGGTTTCAGCTGGGTCACAGGTAAGCAAACGTCGCTTTTGGTCTACGATTAGCCTCCTGTCCGCCGCATGGGGACGCGCTGCATTGCCCAGTAACTAATCGCGAGATCGCTCTATTGGGGAGATCGGTGGCCAAGCATGATAAAGAGGAATATGTAGGTGAAAAGGTCTTTTTTGCCGCAGATTATTCCGGTGACCTGCCATGGTGCCTCTCGCCTGACCGGCATGAGATCACTCTATGAGGGAGACCCGTAGAAATGAGGTTAGCAACTACAATTAAGTCGCTTAAAAAGGGTAAGATTAAAAGCTTTTTGGTGATTGTGAATAATACATTGTTACGAACTCTATGTTCATGAGCAAAACAGCCCGGTTGATTAAGAATTGCAATCAAAAATCTTTAATAATGTATAGATTTCCTAAATGGTTTAATAAGTATCATATGTATAGCTCGAGCGAACGCCAGTAAATTTTCCATCTCCTCCTATCGAGCGGAATAGTAACCTAAGGAGTTCTGCTCATTTTATGGTCTCGTTGAGCATCAGACCTTTATTCTAGGGTTTTCTTAAAGAGTTCTCACTATCGAATCGGTGGTCTTCATGCAGAGCGTTTAACATCCCAAGGTGAGTGTCCGGCTCACCTTATCTTCGACTGTGTTTGGCATGTGGAAATTCACTGTTGGCTTTTCATCGCTGATGTCGATCGAAACCTCGGATCCCCTCCCTCAATTTGGTGATATAGGTTACTCATAACATCGTTCTTTCGACTGCGCGTTCATAACGCTGGGTGACTTTTCATCCTGCTTACATAGTGACTCTACGCTTCATTAAGTACATGGAAGCAATCTGATAATTCTTTGAGTACGTTGTCTTTATTTTTAGCCGCTTAGGTTTCAACCATCTAACTTCATGTAAAGCGTAGCACGTGGATTTGTTCTCCCAGAATCAGAGAAACTTCCAGAGTTGTTTACAAAGCATAGATCGTTTTCGGGAGGTGGAAGCAGTGGTTTCAAATGAAGAATGATAAAAAATGAAATTGCAACAGCTATTTCAAGTGAAACAGCAAATCATCTGGCAAGAGTTTTCTTCAGATTTTGAAGAAAGAACTATCGTAGCTCCCTCATTTCTAGGAACACTTACGTGAGTAACTGTCACGACCGACTTTCTATTAACCTCGGCATTGATCAAGTAATTTTGTTTGTATTTTTGTTGAGCAAACGCGAGGAGTTATTATTCTTTATTCACGAATAAGCTGATGTTTCGGCGGATTTCGCCTTCCTCAGAGCCTGGAAAGGTCAAGTTGATAGCAATCTACTCGGCCAGACGCCTCCATAACCAGAAAAAGAAACTCTAAACCAAGATTTCAATCATATTGAACACAGCTTTGCACACTCACCGCTTTCTATGAGGTTTCCACTAAGTATGTCACGTAGAGACCAACCGCACAGAAATCACATGGAAGCATAATGTGTCTCTGACATCAGAAAAGCAGTGTTATATACTGCCCTGTATCACGCGTGATAATGAGGCATTCTTCCCTGCGGTTCATTTTCGGATTTCTGGAATTAATCCAGAGTGCCTCGAGAGTTTTTCGCGCCTGTGTTCTTGATTCGCGTGCGAGGATCGTGACACATACTTCGAAGTCGTCTCCGTTATGTCTCTGGATCCTATGCGTGCCTAGCGGGGTATTTGGTCTATTTTTGCCGGCTAGGTGTTCTTTCATGCGGATACAGAGGAGTCTACCCGTTTCGCCAATGTATTCGTCACCACACGTCTTACAAGAGATCAAATAAACTATACCCGAGCTAATGCAATCACCGTCTCTACCACTGGGGCAAATTGTGCAATTTTGAGTTGCACACAGACGGTCATATAGGCGGTTACGAACTAGCTGGCGCTTAAGATTACTCGGTGGTATTTCAACTACGCTCACCGAATTCTCTAAGCCCGCCCTTCTTAAGCAGCGTTTTATAGCTGCACTTATATCATTTGAGATGAAAGGTAGGATAAACGAGACCCTTCTATCGCTAGAGTTGTCGTTTGGAGGCCTACGATTTCCTCTACACCTATCCTGAGCTACAGTTTCGTAGCCATTAGAAATGGCTATTTGCCGTGCCAAGTTCCGGGACTCCTCTCTCGGCTCTCTTCCCGTGCACACGTTGGTTGCAGTTCGAAACATGTTTCTTATAAGCGCCCTTTTCGTGTGAGAGTGGTGAGAGGAGAGCTAATGAACCAAGATGTTTTTACTACTTGGCTTTCGGTACCACTTTGTAATGTAGCCATTTTCTGATAGGTGAATTTGTACGTTCAAAAATGGAGGCCATTTTTCTTTCGGCTTTTCTCGGGTGAACTTGATATACTCTGACTGTGCGTTTAACAATTCGAAGCATTTGTCCATTTCCTCTTGTGTTCAGCAAAGGACAAAGCAGTCGTCTACATACCTACAGTAGAGTAGCGGCCCGAGATCAGTCACCGGTGCTTCCACCTTAGACATAAATGCAATGGCAAGGCTTGGAGCCAGTCGTTGTCCCATTGCCAACCCTCTTATTTGAGCGTAGTACTTTCCAGACCATCTGAAGATTGAGCAGCTCAAGCATTCTTTTAAGAGTGCCATCAGGNCACGTTGGTTGCTGTTCGAAACATGTTTCTTATAAGCGCCCTTTTCGTGTGAGAGTGGTGAGAGGAGAGCTAATGAACCAAGATGTTTTTACTACTTGGCTTTCGGTACCACTTTGTAATGTAGCCATTTTCTGATAGGTGAATTTGTACGTTCAAAAATGGAGGCCATTTTTCTTTCGGCTTTTCTCGGGTGAACTTGATATACTCTGACTGTGCGTTTAACAATTCGAAGCATTTGTCCATTTCCTCTTGTGTTCAGCAAAGGACAAAGCAGTCGTCTACATACCTACAGTAGAGTAGCGGCCCGAGATCAGTCACCGGTGCTTCCACCTTAGACATAAATGCAATGGCAAGGCTTGGAGCCAGTCGTTGTCCCATTGCCAACCCTCTTATTTGAGCGTAGTACTTTCCAGACCATCTGAAGATTGAGCACCTCAAGCATTCTTTTAAGAGTGCCATCAGGTGCTCTATCCTGAAGCCATACATGTTTATTTCTCCTTCGTGTTGTGTAAGGAGTTCGAATATGGCTTGCATTGCGGAGTCATTCGACACGTTTGTATAAAAAGCGGTAACGTCGAAGGACTCCATCACGCACGCGCTNCTCCTCTCTCGGCTCTCTTCCCGTGCACACGTTGGTTGCAGTTCGAAACATGTTTCTTATAAGCGCCCTTTTCGTGTGAGAGTGGTGAGAGGAGAGCTAATGAACCAAGATGTTTTTACTACTTGGCTTTCGGTACCACTTTGTAATGTAGCCATTTTCTGATAGGTGAATTTGTACGTTCAAAAATGGAGGCCATTTTTCTTTCGGCTTTTCTCGGGTGAACTTGATATACTCTGACTGTGCGTTTAACAATTCGAAGCATTTGTCCATTTCCTCTTGTGTTCAGCAAAGGACAAAGCAGTCGTCTACATACCTACAGTAGAGTAGCGGCCCGAGATCAGTCACCGGTGCTTCCACCTTAGACATAAATGCAATGGCAAGGCTTGGAGCCAGTCGTTGTCCAATTGCCAACCCTCTTATTTGAGCGTAGTACTTTCCAGACCATCTGAAGATTGAGCACCTCAAGCATTCTTTTAAGAGTGCCATCAGGCCTATCCTATCTAGAAGCCATACATGTTTATTTCTCCTTCGTGTTGTGTAAGGAGTTCGAATATGGCTTGCATTGCGGAGTCATTCGACACGTTTGTATAAAGAGCGGTAACGTCGAAGGACTCCATCACGCACGCGCTGTTGGGCTGCGCACTAGCAGACGATCCAAAAACATCTGGGTATTCGTAAGATGGGCTGGAATGTGTTTCAACAACTGGTTAAATATTAGGGTTAAAAACCATGTTATCCTGTCCGTTGGCCCGTCTACGCAGCTAATGATAGGTCTAACCTTAAATAGTGATGGATCGTTAGATGCAAGATCATCGCTTCTTTAGACAAGACGTTCTTTAGACAACAAGAGCCCAATAATGAAGTTGATGTCAAATTTCGGGTGTTTGCGAATGAAACTCTCAAAGTCCTTAATCACTATCGCGCGAAAAGATACAGCTCCAACCTCACTCCAGTGCAAAAACGTGGTATGCGAGAGGTACGAGAGCTGATAAGGCTAAAAACCATAAGACTACCCGTTAGTGATAAGGGTGGAGAGTTTGTCATAATTCCTCATCAGTTGGATGTGGAGATAACGAAAAAGCATCTTGAAGATGCTTCGCTTCATCGCCCATCATCTGAGGAAGAATTCAAAAGTAAAGACCGAAAACTAAACCGCGAATGGGCCAAAATGGCAAGCGCTGCTGGTTTGAAACCATCAGTTATCTCTCAACTTAAAGTTGCCTTACCAACATGCCCAGTCTTGTACTTACTCATAAAAACTCATAAGTTAGTATCCAGCGATGATCTTGCGTCTAACGATCCATCACTATTTAAGGTTAGACCTATCATTCGCTGCGTAGACGGGCCAACGGACAGGATAACATGGTTTTTAACCCTAATATTTAACCAGTTGTTGAAACACATTCCAGCCCATCTTACGAATACCCAGATGTTTTTGGATCGTCTACTAGTGCGCAGCCCAACAGCGCGTGC